CTTGCTGCGTCTGAAAGAAAAGTTTTATTTCATGTACGGCATTAGCCAACCTTTATATTCATGTACAGCCGTTGGCCCAAAAGGATGCATGCAAGTTTTCGCTTTGAAAGCCCACCCACCCACCCAGTGCAATCAGACTTAAGCATGTCAGGTATGCTTGCCATTAGGTAGCAGCAGTGCAGACTTAAGCGTCTCAGGTATGCTTGCCAGTAGGTAGCAGCAGTGCAGTTCCCGCCCTGTGCGGATGACGTAGGTGCAGTTCCCGCGCCATGCGGAAGGCATATGTAGTGTAGCGCTCTGTGTTACCACATAGTGTGTCTCCTCCTTCCGGCTTTCATTATGTGGTCTATCTGTTACCCACGCTATATCAACATGGAAGCCGGGGGTCCTGGACGCATTCCATATGTAGCCTATCCTACACTGTCACGCTAACCACCAATGCCAAAAAGTGTGAACTTCGTGCGAGTATACTTGCGTGCGTACTTTATATATGTTTCATATGTGATGTGAATAATAATGTTTGGTCGAATATTATCGGTGTCTTTTCGATGCTTTATGGTATTTGGGAATGGCTGTATATGAATATTGAACAAGAAGGCCTGGAAGGACGCTAGCGGCTAGCGTGAAGGAGCGCCACTTCATCACGCCGCTAGCTCTACATGCTAAGAGACCTCTACTCCCCCGCCAGGCAACTGGGAAAACAGGGGGCAGGGACGAGGCCGCGGCAAAGGCGGCAAAGGTGGCAAAGGCCGCGAAAAAGGGAAAGCTACTACCTCGGCGAAGGGGTCCGCCAGGACCCCAGACGATAAGCCGATATGCTTCCGCTACAACAGCAAAGCTGGTTGCAAGAAGAAAGATAAGTGCCACTTCGCGCGCGTTTGCCAGCTGTGCTTCGCTATACACCCGGCCTACCAGTGCAAGGCTGGCGCTAGAGATACCCAAGGCGAGGGTGCAAGCTGACAAGCGACGGCAAAGCCGGGAGCTACAAACGCTAAGAAAGATAACGCCGCCCCGGCGGTCGTAGCTATACCGGCTACACCCGCTAACGCTGCTCCGGCGGCCGTAGCTAGCTCAGCTACACCAGCTATACCGACAGCTGACGAGAAAAAGATACGAGTCCTATACCTCTTCGCGGGCAAGCCCCGCAAATGGGACATGCGAGAGTGCCTCACACAGCTGGGGTTCCACCAAGGAGTCGAGATACAAGTTGACTGCCTTTGATATACAGACAAAACCGAGAATTGATCTCTCCAAGACAGTCAAGAGAGACAAGATACTGAAAGCTATACGAGCAGGGGCGTATGATGCTATGCTGCTGTCACCTCCCTGCTCCACATTTTCCAGGCACCTTGGGCTAACTTCAAAGGCCCGCGACCTGTGAGAAGCTTCGCTAAGCCTCGGGGATTCGACGCCCTTACCGGGGCCGAGGGCCCGCCTCTGCTCCGCTCGGCGGCTTCGTTCGCTTCCCTGGCGGTCTCAGTGCTTTATCGCCTGATGGTTAGTTCGGCTGTGCATTCCATGCTTCCGCCCTGTCATGCGCCTGCGCACATGCACCTGTCGTGCGACAATGCCATTGGTCGCTATCTTTTGCGGTGTTTCTTGCATTTTCAGGAGGACCGCCGCGTGTCTGCCCATATCATATTCAGTGCATCTTGAAAGACCTGGCTGGCAAACCCAACCGTTCCTCTGACCCCGTGCAGCTAGGTTTTCAGCTGCCTTGGTCCGCCAGGTCTATCCGCCCAGTCTGAAAATCTCGCCTCTGTTTGGTGCATTGTCGTGAGAGTGGCGTGTCGGCTGCATCTGTTCCCTGCTCCCTGCGGTTCAATCCACTGCACGACGCAGCCAGCCCTTCTTCTGCCTGTAGGTCCGTTGCAGGTCTCTATCAGTACCTGCCTGGCGCTGACTGTTCAGGGACTTACCTGTCTCTGACGTTTCTGCCACTTGACATTCCGCAAACAAAGGGATGTGCTTGCGCTGCCTGTGTTTTGTCTGCTGTCTTTAGGATTGTCTGAGGTATCGGACTTGTCAATGGGCTAAGCGGTTCTGTACATGTATCTGTGTTGTGTATAGCTTCTGTCGCAACGGAAGTCTGATGCTGCACACTTGCCTCTGGAGCCATCAGCTTCAAGTCCTGTCAGTGCAGTGCTTTTAACTTCCCACCTGCCATCCCCTGTCACCGCCTAGACTTTGACTTTCTCCTCTGCCTGGGCCTTTTCCTTTCCTTGTTTGCGTCTGGGCCTGCCCAAGGCTGGGCTTCTGCCTTGGACTTTTCTGAGTGGGTCTGGAGCCAACGTCCCACCCTGTGCTGCTGGCGATGCTGCCATGGCATGCAGCCAGCCCTTCTTCTGCCCGTAAATTTACTGCACGTCTCTGTCAGTACCTGCCTCGTGCTGACTGTTCATCTTGCCTATAGGGCAAAAAAAGGGATGCGCTTGCGCTGCCTGTGTTTTGCCTCTTGTTTTTAACGTTGTCTGACGTACCAGACTAGTTAAGGGGCCGAACCCTGATGATGAGAATCGCGTGCGGGTATCTTGAGCCAACCACCGTCGCGTGTGAAGGGCTTTGATGTGGCCGTCTTCGTGTGGCGTGCCGTTGTGCAACTCCTCCTGGGTGCGTCTGACGCTGTGCCGTTCTCCGCAAGCGCAAAAACGGTGAGTCCGAGTTGCTTGACTGCAATTCTGATTCAATTGACCCTTTGATGTGATAGATACATGTATATTACTTCGGCAGGGCGGGTGATACTTGTATGATTATGCTTTTTGTGTCCTCATAGTATTTGGTCAACAAAGTCCTTTTCCCGGAAGGCAACATTCGGGCTATACAGGCTCGACATCCTTCATCCACGTGCGCGCATGGAAAATGGTTCATTCAGAACGTGTACGAGCCTGGAAAATTTTGAAACCAATGTTGACAGTTGTATGTTGTCGCTAATCGAAACAGCAGGTTTCGTTCATGGCAGTCACTCCATGTATGGCATGCGTTTTACATGCATTTCTCAAGAGAAAACATTTTTGCTCATAGTATGAATGTCACGAGACGGTGGATCAGATTAGAGTTTTATGCAAGGCGGGCATTTGTCCATGGTAGACATTGGAGCATTTGGACTTGATTTTCCTGATTTTTTGTTATGTGCAGTTTGTTGGCTGTTTGTCAGAATGGTCATTGAAATTTCTCGGTTTGTGCATTCCAGGTCCATAGCAGAAATTTGGTTGTACATCAAGCGAAACTGGATAATTCACATCCCGGGCTCATGCACTGCAAGCTTAAGCCACCAACAAACATGTTGCTGTAGTACGTTGTTTGGTCGAGCAGTACGTCTCATTTCGGACTAGGAAAAATGGTGCAGTGTTGACGTAAGCCCATGTGTGTTTCAGACGGTGTGTGGGGAATACATGTTTTGAGTGAAGCTTGCGGATGCAAGCTTGGACTTTGCGATGGCTTCCTACAAATCAACTCTTCGCTTTTGCCAGCACCTCAGACAACAACCGCAGAACGAATTCTTCGCATCGGGTTGTTCCAAGGCCCTGGTTGCAACAACTCCAACTGGATGATGAGCAAAAACGAGAAGATGGACAGTTTGCTGGTGAGTGTAGTGCGCCAACAAGCTTTTGCACTGAGTGGCAGGAACTCGTCTTCACGTGCAAAGTTTGTGAGAGCATGGAAGCAAGGAGCTTTGCCAAATGCATGCATTCGCCAAAACGGAAATGCAAAACACATGCGATGCATTTTTTTTACTGCATGAGGTTGTCCCCATGGACGGGCAGGCGGATTCTCAGTACATGGCTAAAGTTAACAATTTCATGTTTGTGCATTGACAACTCAATGTTGTTGAGACATGCGCATGTCCTATCTTTGCAGCTTGCGCATGGTGCAGGATGGCGAGGAATCAGGCAACAAGCGACGGATTGACGATCTATGCGTCTTTCGCCATGATGTGCTGTTTGTCGCCAAGGACTCGTTATTCTCCCCTCAATTCAGCCACGGTTTCGGTACGTTCAAACCAGTATGATATTCTACTGTCAGACTTCATGATGCATATTTTCGATCAAACATGCATTTTCGTGGCAGCTGGATTCATGTTGATGAAAGGATGTTTGCGGTGGCACAAGGTTGAGTTCAGCATTGTGGCAGCGCGATGCATTCAGCAGCATGTTGCAAGTGAATTTGACATGTGGGCAGTTAAGGTAGTTGTGTTACTTGTGACGTGCAGAAAACAAGGTTTTGATTCTCCGATGTCAGAAAACTTGCATTGCTGAGTCAGAACATGTTCCTTGAATATCATCACGGTGTCTGCATGGAGTGCGCAGCTTTCACAACAGCGGCTGCGCTCCGAATAACTTGCGCAGGAATCTATCATTGTCATGCCGGACGTCATCCATGATCCTACGCTGCCTCGAGCGGCTTGGCAGGTTATTGCAGATGTCGTTCACAGATGTCGTTCACATGTGTCTGTAGCATCACCAAGGTCTACGATTATGATTGTCACATTTGTGGACACCATGAGGCCTGCGCAGGATCCGTCACAGGTACACATGCAACAGTCGATTTCACATGCCTACAATGCCGTCGTAATAGCCCCAGCATACCAACACAGTTAAGTTGATGCAAGATGGGAATCAAGTAACATTTTTGGGTTACCGGTTTTTTTGTCTCGACCAAAGTGGACCATCGGTCCGACTGAATTGACGCAGTCCGTATACACCCTGACGCAAGCTGTGGCATCGGCAACTACTAGAATCGGAAGCCCCATTCACTGCGATGTGCGGGCCAGTTAGATACTATCAAATTTTTGTTTGGCTAATTACATTTTGTTATGAGGCTAGCAGACGCTCTTTGGCTTGAGGCCGTTTTTTACCGCCTATCAGAGACCATTGTGAGTGATGCGATGGCCATCATCTATGTTTGCTGTAAGCCATGGCCTTGATTGGGCGTTTGACTGCGGAGTTGTGGAGTACAGATAATGAGCAGGCTGAATCAGGCTAACTTTGCACGAAACGTGACCAACTGAGGTGTTCTAACTGGAGAACTGAGGGAAGAGAGGCAGGACTGTAGCACTAAGGAAGGCTTGATGCTTTCAAAGCCTGTGGATTGTCCTGCGAGGTCCAGTATTCAGTGCCACAAGGACATGATCGCCATGGTGGAGCAGAAGAGAAGATCGAAAAGCTTGAGCTCGGCGACAAAAGCTGACTGGACGGAGTTGACTGATCCTGCAGAGTTCCTTTGCGGGCGCCACCTGCAAAAGAACCAATGGGCAACAAAAAGGGCAGCTGCAAGTGAAGCTGCCACCTGTGGCATCATCCTTAGCTTCAAGCACAATTCAGGAGTGGGAGGCATGGGTTCAAACGAGAGGTCTTCGAATGGTGCAAGCTCCAACAGACTTGGCGAGTAATCGAAACATCATTTCCAGAATGCTCCTGCTTGAAACTTGCTGCTGATTCATCGTTCGCAGTTGACGTGCCTTTCTGGGATGTTTGGCTTTTGGTGATGATGTTTGTTAGTTTGCAGCATTTGCGTTTGATGTGGTAGGCGTGTCAACTCCAAGAGTTCTGATTGATGGCAGGCTCATGAAGGCCTCTTACAGTTGCTCTGTGGGGGCATCATGGCTGTTGCTTGCGAGCAGCGTTGTTGCTAGATTGACTGCAAGAACAGGCAGTGACTCCAGTCTGCTCGCCCAACTGTTCAGCTTTGCTTGCAGAATGTTCTCAAGCAATCCATGAAAGCACTCCACTCAGAGTAACGCGCTGAGTCCAATCTTGAGCCCATGGAAGCACTCAACATATCGTGACCTTGTAGCAGCATACCAACGTGTGCATGTCAGTTCTGCGCACGTGCCGGTCTGCGAAACGTTGACCGGATCCAGCCTGAGACTAGATGCTGAGTGATCATGCGCATCACGAGTTCTTGGCTCACTTAGGCAAGGCATGGCAGTTACGAATGTTGCGCATGCTGCGCATGCAGTGAATGCTCCAAACGTTGTGAACGTTCGGCCACCTTCAGGCCTTCAGCCTAGAGAGTCTCACATAAATTGCTGCGGAAGTTCAGAGTCCTCTGAGGTTATGCCTCCCCAGCTTTTACAAGCGCTGGCTTTTCATCTCCTGGCCCACTGCTCAGATTACGGTGTCCTACTGATTTGCTATTCTTTTCCTGTGCACGAAGCCAAGGCTTCGTGTCCCCTCCAAGGCCAGCAATGGCAAAGGGGATTGCGATGGATATCTTTGCTTGTGGTTTCTCTGGCATAGTCCTCAACCAAATGAATGCTCTTTGGTGCAAAGTGCGGCTTGTGCCAGAATCCTACCATTTACGCACCCAACAAACCAACCTGAACTACGTGGGGGCTTTCAAACCGCACGGTTTTGCTTATGCATGACCAAAAATGGATGTTTTTACAAATCAAGATCAACAGGTGATTTCTTGGATTCGTTGTCTTTTCATGTTGAAGCTAGCAACGTCGGTGCTAAAAGAAGCGTAAATGTAGATATGGTAGTTGGTGTTGTGGTCGTAGTCAACTTCTTTAGCTTTCGGATCGACTCATTTTTTGCATTTGTGGCTTGTTGCCTTTCGTGCATAATGTGCGCTTTCAAGTGGTTTTTGTGCGGTTCGTGTGGGCTGGGGGCAGGTGGAGCGGGTGCGTGTTACTATGCGGTACAGGAGTCCACGGCACGGGGTCACGGGGTGCCTCAAGATGACGCATTTGACATGTGATTGGGAACTTTCAGATGTCAGGCTGTAGCTCGAAGGCATGTCCGACTGGCCTCTCGAGTGCGGCGAGGCATAGCATTGAAAGCGCTGCCGACCCTGCGGCATCGGCTCCAACTCGTGCCGATGTCTGCTGAATGATACTGATGCTTAGTTCTTGACGGCCTTGAATTCTTGCCCAAAGCCGCAGTTTAAGTTCATTTTGCCAAAAACCTGGTGCTTTGATGGTCGATCAAAGTAGCAGCCCCGGCGAGAGAAGATCCCCTGTTCTTGGCGTGGACAAATCTCGCACAACAAGAGATTCATAGGGCAGACTGGCAATCTCGAAGAGTTTCAACTGGTTTGGAGCGGCTAGCAGTGGCATAGCGATGAGTCGAAGGTGGAGTGGGCCTCGCAAAGCAATTTCCATTTGTTTCAAGAGGAATGGGAGGGGTGTGCTATCAAAAGCGGGGTGTGCCAGGGCCAATTTGGAGGCCATTCTGGAGTGAAGGTTGAGAGGGAACAATTCGGGTCAAACAGCTTTGAAACAGTTGGGTGTCTCTTATTTTGCATGCGAAAATCTTGGTTAATCCTGTGCAGGTTTGGTCCCCATGCTCGGCACAGTCCCAGGCCATAGCATTTTCTTGCCCACACAGGCAAAACCGTCGTGAATGTTGAATCCTGCGTTTGGGCATCTAAGGGCACAGGATGTGTCGAGCAGCTGCCCCAAGCATCGTGGCGCTTGTGTAAGTATGTAGCTTCGTTTGCTGCACTATTGGAGTGTTTCAGGCGATGGCAAGCTCACTTCGCCCACTTTGCTTACTGTCTTGAAATCAGAACAGCCAGCATGTTGAGATTTGAGACCCTGAGCTTCTCTCAGACATTTCAAGCTGCTTTCCAATCTGCAAAACAGCACTGAGGAGACTTTGAAAAGCTGAATTTTCCGGCAATGGAAAGACGGAACTTAAGCGCAGCTGGCCTCACCGCTCTGTCAGGCTGCGCTAGAAATGATTGGAAGAGGTTGCAGCATGTGTGACCTGCATAGGCCCCTTGTTGAGGTATGTTGAGCGGAAAGCATGGCAAAGCTTGCGGCACTTGTAACAAGCATTCTGTGTGGGTCTGCTAGTTTTTGTTCCAACGGTGTGTCTTCTGGATTGATGGTTTCATGCGGGCAAGACTTTAAGAGGGCAAGCCGCTTACCCAGGCCGTGCCAGCTTGCATAGCGCTCCACTTGGTACGGAACTTATTGCTGTGCCTCTGTAGCCTGGGTTCCCAAGTCCACTTTTTGCTTGTAATGCCTGCAATGGGTCCTGAGTGATGTGGCCACAAGCAGCTCTGAGAGTTTGTACATGCCCAAACAATACCAACTTTTTTGAAGCGATCACAGTCTGTGTACATCCCTCTTTCGGTCAAGCTACCGTCAGCGAAATCACAGCACGCATGCCATAATCGATTCAGCCCAAACGCCTTGGGTGCCTTGGCATCACCGAGGCCCATCGTACAGCCTTACCAGCTTGGTCTCGTCAGACAGCGGGTGCGAGACTGCGAGACATCAGCCATGCCGTGGGGTTTGTCGTGCTTACGCTTACTCTTTGACGCTTCGCCATTCGCCACATTCGGCAGGCCTGGAGCCAGGGACCTCTCCCCAGACAGAAGGATGTTTTTCTGAGTCTCACTGCCTTTGGCACTTTCTGCTTCTCCAACGCCAAGGCTCCCCCTCGCACCGCTGGATCCGTTCTCCAGGGACAGGCAGGACAACAGAAACCAGAAGTTGCTGTGGGACACCGTGCGTGAAAAGGTCTTGAACGGGCCTCAGGTGCGACGCACCCCTCGGTTTGATGACGAAGTTTCATTTGTCTGCTGCAGGCTGCGCAAACAGCCACTTCCCCGCAATTTGCACCGCAGCTGCAGGCCTAGGGCGTGGGATGTAAGATGCCGCCGTAGCTTTCTTGCAAAGAGAGCCTGTCTGTCGATCATGCCATGATCGCTTCAGTTGGTGCTGTGCTTGCTCTTGTTCCTTTTCGTCTCCTGCCGCCTTTTGCTTGTTGTCTTCCCAACTTCGCTCGTACTGATATTGGTAGCCCGCGTGCGTGCAGATGTGCAGGGTTACATGTGTACATATCTTGTCATCTATAGTCCATGAAGCTACCAGGCTATTCCATGGTAGCCACCGTGCTCATGAGCCAGTCACTTGAAAGGGGTACCAGATTGACAAACACTGACACACAGGCAACGCATAGCACTTGACCAGGACTTCGGCAGGCTTGTACTTTGCCTGTTACTTTGAATGGCGTGTGATGAACAGTGTGCGCAACTATCGAGGTGGTGAGAGGCAGATGCCGTGCGGTGTCAGGAAACATGCAGACAGGTGTCAGAAAAAAAATCCAGTATTTTAATGGAGGCTTTCGTGCCAACCGCGAGCCACGTCAGGCCCTTGTGCCGAATGCAAAATCACAACTCCCCTGCTAGTGGCTTCACAAAGCCTATCAAGTTGCTCATGAAACTTGATGCAAATTTGGATTCCTAATTGGGTTCAAACAGCAAGACTACATGTACTGTTTTTGGCTCGAAGGATATGACGGCTGCATTGGCGAGTGTACTAGGGAGTATTCCTGAGTAAGGCGTGCCTCCTAGATTTTCAAGTAGAAGCCTAGATTCTATGATTTTTCCTTGTTTCGTGGAAAGTCAGCTTCCGAATCCCGCAGCGACACCGAGATGTTGTTTTTTCTTCCTTGTTGAACAAGGTGCACAACAAAGCGCCCCAATCACAGCACTTCTGTTGATTCCACAGGAAGCAAAGTACTCGTGGCCTAGAAGCATTCTGAGTTTTGTGCTTGGTCAGGGTTTTAGTTCAGGGCTTTAGCTTTCGGGCCGGGGCTTGGGACGTCTTTCACGCTAAGGGATTTGGAAAGGTGTCTTTGGCTGATGGGGTGATGATGATGATGGCGTTGATGGTGATGAAGAATGACATCCCGTGGAAAGGTATGTTTGGATGATGTGGTGACAACGATGCTGATGGCGATGATGTGGATGCCGAGCATGCTTCAACATGGTTGTCTCCGCAATGAGAACTATACCTGAACCAGTTTTATTCCACTCATGATCGGAAGTGCCCAGGTCCCCTTGCGTGGAAGTAGATAGAGCCTTGGCTAGAGAGGGGCAGCTCCAATCCTAGACTTTTGGGCCCAGGACTTGCAAAGCATACAGGAGTACACTATCCGAGCATCTTTGAATTTGTTCGACCTCTATCTATGAATGAAAACGTCTGGTAGGGGTTCCAGGTACTGACTTAAGGCCTTGCGATGAATGGGGGGGGAGGCCATCAAATCTATGATTCAAGTTGGAAATGATGGAAAAACAAGAAAAGAACGTGGATGAGGATGAAATTCCCTGCAAAGTCTGGAGGGATGCAGAATCCAGGAAGTTGTTGCAGTTGCGGAACCAGTAGAGGATGGTCGGCGTTGCTGCAAGTCTCCACCATAGATAGAGTAAAATAGCGTACTAGTTTTCGC